TTATATGACATCAACAATGAACATATATATTTTATTTTTATCACAAACACCAGATTAAACGAGTTTTGAGCACAGAGTTTTATTTGTTAATACAGTTTACTACTGTAATCGCAACAAAATTATAAATGATTTTGACTAACCACATTAATACAAACCCAAGTAACCAAGACGACAGTTAATAAGGACCGAGGATGACAAGATCGGGTAACACAAAGGGTAACACTAAGTTAACGAAGTTGACAACTGTTGACCATGATACACGTTTGCAAGTTTACGCAAACGCGCCATCGAAAGCGTGTTATGAAAGCAAATCATGGGTTACTAAAGGACTCTATACCTTAAAAACGCATAAAATAATTGATAATGGCGACAGAAATTTAACAAGAGCGTGAGAAAGTTCATGTAAATACAGTGTTAAAAAGAAGATACACCATTAAACAAGTCGGTATATAAATTTGGTTTATAGAGGAGGTTTTGCGCGAAGCTCGTAAAGGCATTTAAGCGCGCGTTGGAAGTAATCAGCAAGCCGAAGTAGTCAAAGATGGCGGTCAAAAGTTACCGAAAGTACCCCCGAAGGATTGCGAGAGTGTTCATTAATCAGACTGTTTTTCTTCTGTTTTCCTAAAACAGGAAATCTAAAGTGAAGGTACTATGAAAAAAGTTCAAATGCGGTCGTCCATTGAAGTAATCTTCCTTGAAAGTTGCAACGACGCGTGCCGAGTTACATAAAATCCAGCATAATTCTATTCAAGTTGTTGCTGAAGGAATCGGGCTAGAAAAGTACATTGTGTATTAAGAAATGTAGCGGCTCTTCGCAACTTTCAATGCAATGTTTGTCAGAACAGCGGAGCACGCAGAAGAACGCTGGTAGCGGGGAAAGAAGAGTTTGCAAGAAGACAGCAATTCATTATTAAAGTAAGTTCCTGGCGGTTTTATAACCAGCAAGAAGAAGTCCTCAACCAAAAATCGCTGGGGGTCATAGATCGCTTCGTCTTCAACAATCTTGCCTGTGATAACGCCGGTAACAAGATAACAAGCACACAGGCAGCATGATTTTTCCTTTCTTTCTTCCAGTGAGTAAGACCGACAAGCCGTTGGTAGATGCATGATACTTTTCAAAACCAGTCAGTGGAACTCATCTGCTGACAGGCCTTTTTCTTCATTCGGTTCTTTAACTGCTTTTTTCTATTCTCCTTTCAAACTGAAATTGATGCCGGCTTCTAATTATAATTCCCGTAGAGAAATCTCATCACACTTCACTAACAACATCTGTTGAGTTACTCAAATGGCGTGATGCTGTTTTCAACCAATCGGAAAAAGGTATTAAGTCGAAGATTGACATTTAATTAATTCTGATTAATCACTTTTTTCACGCTCATAATCTGAGCGTGAAAAATGGAGAAAACAATGGTCTCCTTGCAGGTGTTCCTTTCCTTTCTCCCTCGCGGGCCCAAATTCCCCCTTCCCCGTTCCCTTTTAACGCCTGCCACGCAGGCCATATGCTGAACTTGGCAAAAATTTGTTATTATAACCCTTTCCCCTTGCACTTCCGCCAGCGTGACCCGTATAAAGATGATCGAGCCCCCATTAAACAGGAATTCAACGGTGTTTTTCGGAAAAATGACCGCTGTTTTGGACAGTGAAAACCCAACGTAAACGCATTTCATCGCATTTAAAGAACAGAAGACCAAATAAGGCGATACGGTATAAACTCGTCTGCGAGCAAAACGCGTTTAGTTACCGGCTAATCATCCAAAATCACTTCAATTTGCTCTTAAAATTACTTTAACATTCGAAATTCATTGATTGATGTTCTTTCTGTTCCTCTGTTTGTTGCTGCCGTCTTCTTCTTCGTTGCTCGCGTTGAATTTCAAGTCGGTGTTCTCGCTCCAGAGGATTTCGGTGGAAAATCTCCCTCCGCGAGGATTTGGAGCCACTTGTTGTGCTTGTGTGTCATTTGCGTTGGAAATTGTTCGTGATTTACCGATGGTAAACACTGTTTCGCAGACGATGAATAAACACAATAAGCCTTTCATGAATAATACATGAAATGCGCCTTGGTCATCGGCGGCAAAGTCTTTGTTGCCTGGAAACGGAAAAATGCTCCATGACGTCAGTGGCGGACACCAGGCATACATTCGTAGAGAGATTTATGCAAGGGGCATCGAATTTTGCAGCCAACAGAAGACAGAAAACCAGCACATGATGAACCCGCGCCAGCCATTTTCTTGACGGATGACATCTACTAAGGTGTCAAATTCCGGATTTTTCCCCACCCCCTATGTGGCTGCCCATTTGACTGTTGTGGGGGAGGGGGGATGGGTGATTTATTTAGGCAAGAATTTTTTCCCAAACCTCTGAAGTTAAAATTTTTTTCCCTGACATATAACGGTGTAAGAATTTTTTTCAGCATTATATACGTCTCGAGTGAAATTTTTTCCATTGCAGGATATCATTTCTCCCAGGTATATCCGTGCAAGCTTTTTCCCCTCGAAATCAGTCTACAGGCTATTTTTTCTTAAATCACCCATAACCTCCTCAAAAGTCAAATTACCGGCCGCTAAAATCCACCCAAACATTGACTCAGTAGACAGAACGAGATTTGTCAGTCATTGCCAAAGCCTTTTGAAACAATAGGGGACAAAACTCTCTAGGTGAGAGGGGGAGGAATTCGTTTCTACTTACCCCTACCCGGAGAGTCCGTACGGACGTACGGTGACGGATAGTTTACCATTTTCTCTTAAGTATGGAGCTCCACGCTCGCGTGCCCGTCGCCTACGCGGAGGCTCCGCTATTAGGGAGTTTAAGATACGGAGACTACGGACTACGAACTACGGCTGGACGAGCGTTCTCGTTTGTTTGTAGCACTGGGTTGAGTGGTGCAAATATAGAACGTTAAGATTCCACTACAGACGGCAGACTACGAGAGAAAAGGCGGAGAGGGAAACAGCACGCAAAAATTTTCTTGTTTTCACCACAGTTCACAAAAATGCAAGTCAGTTTTGCATGTGATCTTATCTTTAGAACAATGAACAAATTCTTCCATACTTGAAGGAAGCAATTACGTACAAGTCGATTCGCGTACAAGTTGATTCGCCTACAACTTTACTCCTTGTTCCATCACCGTAGCTCGGGTGAAATTGGTAAACAAAGTTTTGGTTGCACAGGTTTTATTTTTTTCGCCCATGAATACTTATGTAAAATATTAAAGAAATAGACAGAAATAGTAATAGCTCATTTATTAGATTTAGAAGATGGACTTCTCCGACTACTGATCTGATGTAGTTTGAAGTATTGAAATGCCCAGTTTCGATTGTCTCGAAGATGTTTACATCATTTTCATTCAGCAAATGCGATACAAAAACTCGCATAAACAAAGGTCACACAAGTAGAAAGACACACTAATCAGTTCGAACAAACATTGAAACTTTTCAAGTGTGAAGAGAAAGTAAATTACCTGCATGATTTCTCTTCTCCTCGGCCATCAATCGGAATTCTGCGTATAAACAGCTAAGCTTCTTTAAATATGAGCTTAGCTAGATAAAAATGTAGTCACAACGGTGGATTAAAAGCGTAAATCTGAGCAGAAATTAGACACAACTTACATATTTCGCTTCCCTCTCACTTAAAGCAGGCAAATTGAACCTTTTTTACGAAAAGACGAGATTCTTGAATTACCGAGACGGCAAAATACGAGCAAAATGTTCTCCGTAGTCCCGACTACGCGGAACAGCTCAACAACTCACTGTAGCCGCAGGACTACGCGGGAAAAATGAACAGTCACGTGGTTTTGATCATGCGCAGTAGCATGTTTATCCGTAGCCGTAGTCCGTAGTCGGAGTATCTTAAACTCCCTATTACCCATTGTGCTCCGCAAGGTGTAGCCAAATTGTCGAAATTTTTTTCATAGAAGTTTTCTTTTACCCTTATAGACCAAGATTTGGCAAGATTTTTTAAACATAATATCCGTGGAGTAAAAAATAGTTTAAAACGTTTGCCAAGTCATTAAAGGCTGGTTTACTAGTAGGATACAGAGTCGGACTGTAATCAAACGTGTAGAGTGTTGATCTGGATAAAACACTAACAGGGTATAATTACTCCAATTATGACTCCTTCACTTTCGCTCTAGTGACAACTATAAAGCATGGGAACAAGAATTACTGGTAAGTGGTTTATCCTTCCACCCCTGCTTAATCTGGTTTTCTACATCATAAGCAGAATCTGAAGAATGGAAAGTTGTGATGACTCTAATTCCATCAAGTTTCTAGTTATGACTTCCCTTGTGACTCTGATTTTTGATTTTCACTAGGTGATAAGTGCTCTTACGACTCTGATTATGATCTTGACTTTGTCACGAGTGAAAACCGGCCTTCAAAAAGATTAGGTCAAGTCGTTAAAGGCTGGCACTAGCAATGTAGACAGAATCAGAGTTGTAATCAGAAGCTTGAGCATTGATATAGCTAAAGCATCCTAGGTCATTACTGCTGTTACAACTCCTTTGCTTCAATCTAATATACATTGTCGGAATTGTAAGTAGGAGAACTAGTTTAACTCTGACAATCTTTTTTTTTTTTGTCAAAAGGGGAGTTGTAATAGAAACCTTAATCGACTCCAGTTCTGGTGAGCTTCAAATAATGAAACCTTTAAAACTCCAATTTTTGATTTTCACTATAGGATTAGTGTTCCTATTATGCTGATTATAATTTTGACTTTGACTTTAGTGAAAATCGTTTTAAGAAGTAGTTACTTTGATCGCACCGAAGATACGAGTCTCTCTTGGCCAATTTAATTCCTCCAATTATTCTATCTGTTCAATCTAGAAAAGTTGAGATTAACGGAAGATAATGTTACATAAATAGGCCGGAATAAGCGTTGTTATGATGTACACAAATCACAGTAACATATTCAGGACTGAATAATGTGTGAAATAAGCCTTAGCTTGGTTTCATTATTTGTTTTATTTCATTGTTTTTACTGCAGTAGTTGACAGTGTTTAAATTCTAGCTTCTTGAGCGGCTCTGTATTGCTAGCTCTTCTCCTTTATCACTCTGCTCAGCAGCAGGGACGGCAAACGATGCAGAGCGTGACTGAGGGGAAGATGGTATCTGTGGAGGAAAGACGAGCTTGACCGTGATCCCCCTCTTGTTCCCTCAGTCGACCGTGAGGGGGGTGGCAAGGGTGATCGCGAAGGTGATCGTGGGCGGTCGCTCTCACGTTGACTATGACGGCTTTGATGACCACGGCTGCTGCCATTTCGGCGTCTGGGGGGACGTGACCGTGATCCTCCTCTTCTTCGGAATCCCTCTGTCGACCGTGAGGGGGGTGACAAGGGTGATCGCGAAGGTGATCGTGGGCGGTCGCTCTCACGTTGACTATGACGGCTTTGTTGACCACGGCTGCTGCTATTTCGGCGCCTCGGGGGACGTGACCGTGATCCTCCTCTTCTTCGGACCCCCTCTGTCGACCGTGAGGGGGGTGGCAAGGGTGATCGTGGGCGGTCGCTCTCACGTTGACTATGACGGCTTTTTTCACCACAGCTGCTGCCATTTCGGCGCCTTGGGGGACGTGACCGTCATCCTCCTCTTCTTTAGACCCCCTCTGTCGACCGTGAGGGGGGTGGCAAGGGTGATCGCAAAGGTGATCGTGGGCGGTCGCTCTCACTTTAACTATGACGACTTTGTTGACCACGGCTGCTGCCATTTCGGCGTCTAGGGGGGACGTGACCGTCATCCTCCTCTTCTTCGGACCCCTCTGTCGACCGTGAGGGGGGTGGCAAGGGTGATCGCGAAGGTGATCGCGGGCGGTCGTTCTCACGTTGACTATGACGGCTTTGTTGATTACGGCTGCTGCCATTTGGGCGCATGGGGGAACGTGGCCGTGATCCTCCACTTCTTTCGACCAGTTTGTCGCCCGTGAGGGGGGTGGCAAGGGTGATCGCGAACGTGATCTTGGACGGTCGCTCTCACGTTGACTATCACGACTTTGTTCACCACAACGGTGCGGGGGAACGTGACCTTGATCGTCGACGCCTTAAAAAAAACATTGCATAGATCAGCCTCTTACGCAGAAGTCCTACAATATAATAGTTAGCTTTCCAAGAATGATCTAAAAGGTGTTCCGGTATCAAGAAGTCGAAACCATATTCCGCCGTCGTCAACCTTATTGGACTATTTGAAGGCCTTAGTATTTTCACAGGAGACATTTTTAACAGTGTTACTGAAATACTAACCGTTTTCAAATGTACAAGTACTACAAATAAATCACTTTAACGATCCCAAACTCATTCTCTTATGCCAATTTAACAAATAAAAGGGTAAAGGAGGAGTAATCTATTTTGACAAACATCCACCGAATTTTTTGAAACGAAGATATAATTGCCGAATTAACCCGATAAAAAATTTTGGGTCTTCAGCTGGATTCGATGGTCTCTGCATTAGCGCGTCAGTGCTTTATCAAGTTAGCTATCAACACCCTTATATTGGGGGCAGCCCATTTTGTTGAGCTCATCTTAACCCGTGAATGGCAGATGCGATGATCATATCTACATTTAAAATGTGTATTTCCGCAGTTCAATTTACATGAACAATAAAGGATAATTCTTGAATAAATTAATAAATTATTGCTCCCCCCCCGCCCCCTCCTGAACCGGGACTGCGGGACCGGCGACTGCAAAAAATAAGGAATAATACTAACTTAATCAATTTTAACATGTCAAAATTGGTCTATCAAGCACAGAATCAGAATGTACCTGTTCCCTTCATCGTAGTTATCTCTCCTATTACTACTACTGTAACCATGGGCTTCTCTCCTTTCCTTGGCACGCATCTGTGCTGGTGCTAAGAGGAAGAAAAAGGTTCATGTTGAGTAATCGTATTCTTTAACACCAGAAAATTTGTGTGGTGATATAGTTAGGGCACATGTCATATTTCAACCTGCACGTTTTTACTTACTTTTTCTTTGTCCCTCTGCAAACTGAACCTGAATTTCTTTTCTGTGGAACGTCACTCCGTTTAGATAGTGATTGGCATCCTCGGCACCACGTATATCTTCAAATGTATGGTATGTTAAGGCGTGACTATTCTTCGACCAAGCTTTGCCTGGAACAAAAGCTTGATAATTGATTACCCTGCTGACAATCTCTTTTGATGGTTGATGCCCCTGCTTTATCAACTTATTCAGGTATTACTAATTAAGGAGTTTAATTTATAAACTTTCTCTTTGGAACATCTTCAAAACTGCCAAACATTCAATCACCTTTTCAATCTACAAGGACAACCTTTTAGTTTGCGTGTGTAGTACTCTCACTTTTAATTTGAAAAATGACCTTGATATCCTGAAAACACTATTTTTTCGGTGAAATTCTGTGGAAACACCTTTACATCTTCTATATTTACACGACACATAAAAGACTGCAGAAATGACGGTATCACCATTATCTCCATGTTGAAGTAAGCTTAAATGTCACCTTTCAATTTTGTTTCTTCTTTTGCTCCGAGAATGAAGCTGATAAAATAATTGTTTTAATTATAGTCTATGAAAAAGCCTATTTTAATCTCTACTTTTATCACAGGTATAACAGTTTGGTGTGCCTGGTTATATTTAAACTGTGATACAGTTACAGTTACTGACTAATCTCCACGGTGCCCACTAACGGGAAGTATTTTCTCCCAGATAATGACTTTATGAGATAAGTTGATTATACCAAGGGCTATTGAAATCCACAGAGAAAACTAGAGTAACCAAGCAATTTTCAGAGATAACTGCGCCTGGATGTGGGAAAAAACGCAGAATTGGCAGTTTTTACAAAAATTAAGAAAAGTTAGTTTTCTTACAAAACCACCTTTCTTTACGCGTCTTTTTATTTTTGAAACATCATCATAACTGGGTGGTCAGCAGCAGTGATCTCTATCCACTCGTTTGCCTCAAAAATGGTTTCAAAAACATTTGCCTCAAACCAAAAATTGATCGTACTTGTGCTAGTTATTTATGGAAAACTGATACTATTGTCTTTGTTGAATTAAATAAACCCCCGTCTCCATTAAGCCCCCCCTCTCCAAATGTGTTTGAAATAAAAGGTGTTCCGGTATCAAAAAGTCGAAACCATATTCTGCCTTCGTCAACCTTATTGGACTATTTGAAGGCCTTAGTATTTTCACAGGAGACATTTTTAACAGTGTTACTGAAATACAAACCGTTTTCAAAGTACAAGTACTACAAATAAATCACTTTAACGATCCCAAACTCATTCTCTTATGCCAATTTAACAAATAAAATGTGAAGGAGGGGTAATCTGTTTGGACAAACATCCACCGAATTATTTGAAACGAAGATGCAATTGCAAATTAACCCGATAAAAATATTTCGGGTCTTCAGCTGGATTCGAACCCATGGTCTCTGCATTAGCGCGTCAGTGCTCTATCAAGTTAGCTATCAACACCCTTATATTGGGAGCAGCCCAGTTTGTTGAGCTCATCTTAACCCGTGAATGGGAGATGCGATGATCATATCTACATTTAAAATGTGCATTTCCGCAGTTCAATTCACATGAACAATAAAGGATAATTCTTAAACAAATTAATACATTATTGCCCCCCTCCCCCAACACCAGAAAATTTGTGTGGTGATATAGTTAGGGCACATGTCATATTTCAACCTGCACGTTTTTATTCTTATGCCTTACTTTTTCTTTGTCCCTCTGCAAACTGAACCTGAATTTCTTTTCTGTGGAACGTCACTCCGTTTAGATAGTGATTGGCATCCTCGGCACCACGTATATCTTCAAATGTATGGTATGTTAAGGCTTGACTTTCTTTCGACCAAGCTTTGCGTGGAGCAAAAATTGACAATTGCTTACCCTGCTGACAATCTCTTTTGATGATTGATGCCCCTTCTTTATCAACTCATTCAGGCCTTACTAATTAAAGAGTTTAATTTATAAACTTCCTCTTTGGGACATCTTCAAACTTGCCAAACATTCAATCACCTTGTCAATCTACAAGAATAACCTTTTAGTTTGCGTGTGTAGCACTCTCACTGTTAAATGAAAAATGATTTTGATATCCTGAAAAAACTAATTTTTTCGGTGAAATTCTATGGTAACACATTCACATCTTCTATATTTACACTACACATAAAAGACTGCAGAAATGATGACGGTATCACCATTATCTCAATGTTGAAGTAAGCTGAAATGTCACCTTTCAATTTTGTTTCTTCTTTTGTTCCGAAAATGCTAATGAAAACTCTCACCTCCTTTAGTATAAGCGCCGCTCAAGTCACAAGTCTACACAAAGAAGGCTTTAACTTTAAATATTATTTGTCATCTTGCTAAATTAGATGAAAGTATGCAAACGTAGCAACTTCAGAATACCCGGACACATTATATACATAAACTAGTTTATAGAGTTAAAAGATTCAACAAGTCGCAAAATCGACGTAGAAATTGAACCGACTGTCAAGTAAAACGGAAGCTAATTTTTATGGCAGGGGCTGCCATATTTGGTAAATGAATCCTTTTTGCGTTGTTGCCACGAAGTCATTAGGGACTTTAAGATCCAACGACGCGACGACAACGAGAGCGTCGCTTAAAAAGTGAATTTCCGTTCCTTCATTCTTAATAGCAATTATTCCTACCCACTTACTTTGTCTAATGTAGGCGAACCCTCCTGAAGCTGAATTTCAAGGGTCCATAGCCAAGCTCAGAAAGAGAAAAAAAGTTTCGTCGTTGCTTGTTTACGTCCTCTATAAAACGCAAAGTTAGGCATTTTCACGTCGTAGTCGTGCAAAAACAGGAAAGAAATGTACAAAAAAGCGTGATGCACGTGCAAAGTTGTTGTTTTGCTTATTAAACCAATTGTTTTTTTGACGTTTTCGTTGCCGTTCGCGTCGTTGGATCTTAAAGTCCCTATTTTCCAAAGCGCGCAAACATAAGGCAATTTTCCTCTGCTTTAATCTTTTTGTTACCTCTTTGAACTCTAATCCTCCATTTTCAGTCAGATTAGTTGCCGTATTTTATTATTTGGGCATCGCGAGAATCGATTTTGTTGATTCAAAGTTGCAATAAGCAGGCAGGGACGCGAATGTCTGCTGGGGCTGTGTCACAACACAGAATTTATCTCTGTTACATATGACCCACAGCTAACGCGCGGCAACAAATCGGCAATAGAAAACAAACTTTTTGGAAAAAACACGGTACACTGAGTGAAACAAACCTTTCAACTAGAAATACGTGAATCGCAGGATCTCGCGAAGGACTCTGGAGAACGGCAAGAAGTTGAAGTAAAGCAATATGGAAGAAAATTTATAAATCTAAAAAAAACATAAGCCATACAAAGAAATAAAAGAAAACTACAAAAACTAAAATGAAGACTAAACGTAAAGGAAAAAAAAAAGAAAAGAAGAGAAGAAAAAAAAAAAAGAGGTTCTACCCGGAATCGAACTCGGGACCTTCCGCACACCAGGCCGTTTCGTTGTTACTACGCCACGTGAAACACATTTCGAAATTTTTGATAATATTTTATTAAAAGCCTTTTCCCTAGAATTCATTCATTCATTTTATTTTGCCATTAACCAGAAATACAACAACAGTATACAGAAATACATTAAAGATAATATACAATATTCCAACTAAGTTATTTACAAGATTAAATGTGGTAAAGGCAAGGAAGCCTATATAGAAGCCGGGGGCTTATAAACTATAGGCTTCCTGGAACCTATAGGGTAAACCATACAAGTTAAGGGTACTGAATGAAAATTTGGATTCATTTTTTAAAGAAAAAAAAAAGAAAGAAAAGGTGTGTAGCTCAACAAAGAGTTAATTTAACTAAGAAAGGAGGAATTTTTTAAGTCTTTTGCTAAAGAGCCCTATATAGAGTTGATCGAACACTATTAAACACGAATTCAGAGATAATTTTCAGAAAAATGACTGCTGTTTTGACGGTGGATACCTACGTAAACGCACTCTTAAGTGCTTCGTGGATAAAAAGCAATTTACAATTTACAATCGCATTTATAGAACAGATGCCCAACTAAGCCGATACAGTATAAACCAGTATAAAATCACCTGGAGATTATAATCTCACTTCGCTTAGCGCGAGGAATAATTTAAATTTTCCCTTTGGAAAATATCCGTCCGCGCAGCACAGGGTGTAAATGGTTTGGCTTATTGTCAAAACTTTGACAATATTTTTGCTCTCAGGGCCTGTTTACATGGAGGTGAGGGACCACAGGTAGGTGCGGTAACATTTGGCGGGTCAACCCACCTATCATGTACACTGATGTAAACGTGATCAAATTAAAATGAGAGATTATATGGACAGGCGGGTTACCCCACCTAAGCGGGTTACCTCACCTACCTGGGGTCCCCCACCTCCATGTAAACAGGCCCTCAGTTGTCGAGCGCCAAAGAAGATGTCACGCAAAATTCCTGTGCACGAGATGGTAACAGTGAATGATGCATAATTTCATTACATATATTTTCGGAAAGGAGGTGATTTCTTAAAATCGCGCGCGGGGTGATTGAGCAAAATGACCTCGTCATTCCTTCACGGTCGAACCATAAAAGAGGCAGAGTCCAACATCTTCACGTGCAAACCGCCTTCTATTTTAAAACCGTTGGGTTAATTAGATTAAGTCGTATTCTCTCATACAGGAACCACGAAAGCAGCAAATTCAAAATAGAAATCACAGCAAGGGCCTGGTCACATGAGCCGGGGAAGCAACGGCAAGCGTGATGATTGCATGCAAAATTTCCACCCGCGATCCCAGCTAACCGGGCTGGCTCGGTTGTCATATAATCGCAAAGTTGATTTTGTTGCGCTTAACCTAGGTACCAGGATCTCTGCAAAGCGAGCCAGCCCGGCTCATTAATCAGGCCCTTGGTTCTATACTCCATAGAGTACTAAAGTGATGACGTCATAAAAATGAAATTTCTGAAATTATGGGATTTGTCAGGATATTCTGAAAGAACAATGTCCAAGTGGCCTACTTGGCAAAAAATGAGCATTTCGGGGCAAATTGTCTCTGAGATCGTAGCCCAGTTATACTCAGAAAACTCCATACAAACCCTTCTAATTTTTTTTTGGGTCGACCCCAAAAAAATTTAGAAGGGTTTGTATGGAGTTTTGTAAGCATAACTGGGCTACGATCTCAGAAACAATTTGGCCCCAAATGCTCATTTTTGGCAAGTAGGCCTCTTGGACATTGTTCTTTCAGAATGTCCTGACAAATCCCATAATTTCAGAAATTTCATTTTTATGACGTCACACTTAGATACTCTATACCACACCGATTTTTCAAGGCCCCGAGCACACACGCAAAATTTAACCCCCCCCCCCCCCCCCACACACACACACACACCTCACATTTCATACCTCTTTCTCTACCTTAAATGAACGTTTAGGCTTATCATGTTCTCTCCTTACAAATATTATCAAAAATAACATTGTATTAATAATAATTTCTCCCATACTATCTAGCAGGCTAGCAGGGATGTCATTAAGATTTCAAGTTACCGGGCAAATACATTAAGAGTAGGCGGGGAATAAAACTGCTAGGAATTTCTTTTGGTTATATTTTATTTCTGTTTCCTATGAAAGAAGCCGGAGGTCACGTTCATGGTAGCCTGGGAAAATCTCCGGTCTTCATCTCTTGATGACAGTTCTGTGTCTAGCGACAAATCTAGTAATGCAGGAGGCATCTGGCCACTGCTCCTTCACACAATAAATTAATTTAAACAAAATGTTTTGGGTGTGACAGGAAAAAAACTGTTGTCTTGTGTTCACGTCCTCCATAAAACGTGAAATTGGGCAGTTTCACGTCGTAGTCGGGCAACAACGGCAAAGAAATGTGCAAAAAAGCGTGATGCACGTGCAAAGTTGTTGTTTTGCTTATCTAAACCTATTGCTTATTTGCCGTTCTCGTTGCCGTCGCCGTCGTCGTGCATAAGCTCCCTAATACGAAGAGCGACTGCAGGCAATGGGATCTTTAACAACTAAATCCTATTAGAATAGAATAGAGTGAATAAAATAAATAAGTAGATTTTCATATTACCTAAGGGGACTGTGTAAGATTATTTTCAGACAGAAAATTTCCGCTATGAATTAATTAACAATTAATGAATGAGGCTGAGTATCGTATGAAGAATTATGAAGATCTCTGAGGGTGTTATCCGCCTCGGCCACCCACCGAGATCTCCATAATTCTTCATATGATACGAAGCCGAATTCAATAACTGTTTTATTATTCATTCAAAATAATTCCTAGTTTAGCAACATGGCTGAAACATGCTTACCTCCATCGATCCATCGATGTGTGAAAATCTTCATTATGAATCGGTATACCTCAAAGAGCTACACAACGAGCATGAATACTATTGACCGACAAGGTACAGAGCGGAGGCAGCTGTAGTGTCAACTACTTAACAAGTATTGAATGAGGCTGAGTATCTTATGAAGAATTATGGAGATCGAGGAGGGTGTTATCCGTCGAGACCGTAGGCCGAGGCGGATAACAACCTCCGAGATCTCCATAATTCTTCATATGATACGAAAGCCGAATTCAATAATTGTTTTATTATTCATTCAAAAGAATTCCCAGTTTAAAAACGTGGCTAAAACATGCTTACCTCCATCGATCCATCGATGTTAAGTTGATCTTCGATAGTGCACGTTTAGGGTTGTTCAGCTCCGCAAATATTCTCCAAATAGCAGATGTCGCCCTTGGAGTTGTCTTCTGGCTGTTCTTGCCATGTTTTTAGCTATTTTACTACAATGCAGGACTAATATAAGAAAGTTCTCCATCAGTTTCCAAGGTCCTAAATTTTTTAACTCTCTTAGTTTTGAAATTCGAAATGCAACAAGTACCGCTTCCTTTTGCTGTAAGCTGAAAGCATTCCTCTTATCATAAATAGTAATTTATATACATATATATATATATGTATTTTTTTTTCTTCCTTTGCTCTTTTATTTTCTTTTGTTTTGTTTTGTTTTCTTTTTGTCATTTCGCTTTTTTTAGCCTAGAACTATGATTAGTACGACTATCTAATATACTTATTTTAAGATTTACTGTAGCTCTGCCATTGATTTTCCCGTGTGTAATTATGATAATATTTTGTTCTAATTATCTAACTGAGGGAGCCCATTCCTTATAAGCCCGGTGGCTTCTCTTGGGCTTCCTCGCCATGAGAGTTAAGGTAATTAGATTTTAGTTGATTTGTTTAATTTTTGGCAAACAAAACAATAAACAATATTTTTTCGCCTAGTTCTTACTCTTGAAACGAGTGAAATATGTCCGCCATTTTTCAAGTTCACAACCAAAACAACTCATCCTCGTCCCCAGGTCGTCTCGGTTAACGGTTCATCAACCTGCAAGAACCCTACATTTTTGACGTCATTTCCTCGCTAAACACAAAATTCTTCCAAATTTGGTCATCAGTAACTGGTTATGGTGAATTAAACGTGTGCTTTTAGTCAATCAGAATAGGGGAAATATTTTGAATGAATAATAATCATATTTAAACGTCTATTTATTCCATACATAACATAACATAAAACTTTATTTAAACTCGAATTTTAGAGTAGCTAACAAGCTAATATCTTCGAGCTGACACTACATAAAAACTATATAGAAAATATATATATACATTAAATGCAAGGAAAGAAAATATCATTTACAATTCACAATAACATTGATGAATTGCAAACATGTTCAGTATAAGTGGACAAAGAAGTTTCTCGCCAACAACACAGCAAATAAGGTGGCAAATGAAAGGTACAATTGCTAAAATTCAAATGACATGAATTTGGTAACGCGAGTTTGGAAAATAAGAACATTGCAGAGTAATTAGCCATCTTAGCATCCTTCAAGTGGAAAAAGACCGACATAGTGGAGCTCATGCACGTGACCCAGCACAAGCCGATTGTTACCAGTAACATCATACTCTGGGCAGATCATTACGTCATGGTGATGCGGCAGACTGCTTATCACGTGAATGCATGTTTCAAAGCAGTTTGCAGCACCATGGAGAATCACGTGATCACCCCATGTACCATCTGCCATCATGCTTGTGAGGTAAGCGTTCCAAGATGAAAATCCATCAACAAAGTGGAAGAGATCTGTCCCATCCGGCTGTAAGAGAACGAATGCTGTAGTTACTAGAGAGACGACAAAGTGCATTTCTAGACGGTTCTTATTCAGGAAACCACGCAGTCAGCTCTCTCCAACACAGACCCCCGAAGGGGAGGGGGGGGGGGGGTACTCAACGACTTTATATGGGGAAGCTCCGTCCGCCCCGAGGTCCAACCCCTTACCCTTTTATATACCTTTGTGAAAATTGTGAAAGGTTTGAACCCAGGAGTCATTTCAAAAGTAGGTTGAGTTTGATCGTCCTTGGAACGTACTCCTGAATCGGACTGTTGTTGTTGACAGTGACTGACGTTTCGACAACCTGTGCGGTAGTCATCTTTAGAGTCAAAGTGAGTTTATCACGTCAGTTGATGGTATTAAACTCTGGTTATTGATCTGATTGGTCAATTACGTCGCGATGTTGTTGGTCGTCTGTCAGTTAAGCCGTGATGTTACTGGCTATGAAGACTCGTACTCAGTAATTAGTGCGTTTCGATCCGTCTATTGTCACAGTCGTCAATAAGTCGTTTGTACGGCTTGGTAACTGTTGGCTACGATTCAGTGGCGTTTGTTCTAAGTTAGTAAACCCGCTGTCTAAAGTAAGACTTTGAAAGTAGTCTGTAGAATACGTTATACATGTCGCAGAGTCCTAATCAATTCGATGTTTCGTCTGTAAATGGTGCTCAGCAATGTGATTGTTGACGTCACCATTCCGTTTGTGTTCGGTCAGTCACGTGCTAAGGTTTCTTCCGGTTTCACCAATGTAAGAAGCCTTTGATCTTGTATACTGTTCCCTGTCTGTCCTCCGGTTTGTCTTTGTCCTTGACATTAGTGGTTATCGGTTTGTGTGCAACACGTATATTGTAAGGTTGTAATATACGTGCAATAGTTGACAGAAAAGGTACCCCTTTCGTATACTTTCTTTTGACAAATGGTACCCCTTTCACATACACATCTTTTTTAGAACTTTGCATCCCTTTTAACTGCTGTAAATGCAGCGTCTTTTTTTATGAATAAATCACTAAACCAGGAAGTTTTCTTGTTTCTTTTACATCCATAAAATGCGTCTGTTAGCCCTTTTTAGTCCTTTTACAGACCGAAATGACAGATGTCCCTACCCCCTTTCTACATTGAAACTAATGAAGTCCCTACCCTTTCATATACCTGTAGCCTGGAAAAGGTACCCCTTTTGTGCAGAGCCTCCCCGTATAGGCCATAATAGGGAGTAGTCCCCTGGGCCACAGACACCGTTAGTAGTCGTACTCTAAGAGAGCTGTCCACCTTATCAAGTTTCAAAGAAAATAAATAAAGAACGATGAGGACCAACTCTATATGTCCATTATTCTCTTCAAGCGTTCAGATAATGTGGATGACGCAAAAGAGAAGTGAGCAGGAAAAAAGCCACCGTGGTGGAAAAGTTCTATTTCAGTCAAGTCACAGGTCTGTTTCTTTAAACGTACGCAAAAGAAGCTTAACGGCCGAGGCGAAAAAAGGAAATGTTCCCCCGTCTGTTTCCATTTATGCTTGGACCCTTCTCCACTTCGGTCAGTTTAAGTTGCTAGTCTGAGATAAATAATTTTAAGGCACTAAAAAAGAACACTAACCAGCCTGGGGTTGTCCTTGAGGTACTGGACAACAGTTCGGCGTAACTCATCATGGGAGATTTTAATTCCTTTGATGTGCTCAAGCTGTTCTGACAGTGCAAAAAACATGCAGTTTCCATCCCCTTGATTGTCAGAAATCACAAAACCTTTCTCCAAAGCAATCCTCTTTAAATTCAACGACAGCTCAGTTTTGCTGGCCTCTCTACGCGCTTCCAGCTTGATTTTTCGAAGTGCAAGGAAAACCAGTCCACCTGCAAATGATAAAGAGAAAAAATCCAAAATGCGAAAGGTTATTTCACGTCAGTTTAATATAGCGTTTTCACATGACGTCATGTAAAACGCCACGTGAGTGAAAACGTTCTATGGGAGATAGAACACGGGTCCAAAGAAAAACCAACTGACCATTTTAAATTACGGTGGTTTCAACAGAACATAATGAGAATGACTCAAATCCCACGGCTATTTCTTTAAAACCAGCTAGCGATGATCAAATTTGGAAGACGTTTGCGATATCCAGTAAAACGACGTCAATAGTATAGGATATCGCCAGAAAAGGGGACGGCAACTGAGAGGCCCTGGAAAAATGTTGAAGACAGAAACTTAACATCGATCGAGGTAGGCATGTTTTTCAATGAACTATATTGAATGGATAATAAAACAATAATTGGATTGGGATTTCAAATGATGTGCGAAATTATGCAGATCTCGTAGGGTGTTATCCGCATCGGCCAGCATCCTCCACGATCTACAAAATTTTTCAGATCATACTCAGCCTGATCCTAAAATTGCTCATTTAAATTATCGTTACTTTACTTAGGATAAGAATTTGATTTCTTACCATAAACCATCTTCCACATCGTGTCAACAAGGGATTTGCACTGTCTCTCCCAACTGAATCTCTCTTCATAACTTCTTCGAAGTCTTTGGATTTCCTCAAGCCGCTGTGCCCTAGATTTTTGTTGGATAGCTGCTATTGCCTTTGCCCATTCCTTGGGGTCATCCGAATCAATCACAAATGACATACCCATTGGAAGACAACGCAGTGCTTCTCCAAATCCAGAGTTTCCACTTACTAGAATGGGGAGACCGGCTGACATGGCTTCCAGTGCTGTCAAGCCAAATCCCTCAGTTCTTGAAGGCATGATGGCCACATCAACTTCACAAAATAACTCTTTTAATCTTTGCTTGTCTTTCACGAATGACCTGACAAACAACTGGTTTCTTGAAATGCCCGTCTGGCATAAGATTTCCGCGACTTCATCCTGCTTTCCATCAGGTGCACCAACAAAGATCAGACGGTAAGAACTGTCCTTCAATTCAACTATTGCTTGAGCGGCAATGTCGTACCCTTTGAGACTGAAGTCTTCAAAATCACCACGGCCAAAGGTTAACACCTTGAACTTCGCACTCGCTCGCGTAGTGGCATGCTCAACATCTGAAAACTCTTTAAAGGTGCCTGGCATCAGCTGGAATACATCTCGATGAGATGAACGCAAGTAGGACGAGAATGCTTCTGTCAACTTGGGCCCAACTGCCACAACGAGATCTGCAAGTTGGCACAGCTCAACTTCAGCTCTGTTCTTTCCCTCTCCCTTGGTAATTGCGCCAGGATAGTTCTTATACATGGCTAGCTCTTCAGGTTCGGTGTGAACTACCTGCACCCAATTGCAACAATGAGACTCTTGGATGATTTGAGCTTGTTTACCCAGCTTTGCACCATGACCAACCACGACTTGAATGTCAAGGTTTCTTGGTGGAAAGCTCAACCAATCAAGAGGATCACTAAAGCCAGGGCGACGATGTGCTTCCATGATGGAAATGTTGTAACCCTTGGCAGCTCTCTTGTCATCTTCACCGCACTCAAATTGAGGTACAATAATACTGACTTGTACGTTTGGGAGTGTTGCCAAATGTATGGCAAGCGTTCTGTTGATTGTTGACAAGCCACCCTTAGATGACCCCCACTCATCAGCCAGGAGGGAAACTTTTAAGATTGAAGGCTGTGCATGACATTGTGTTTTACCAGAAAAGGGTGATTGCAATTCCTGAAAGGAAACCAACATTGCATATTTCAAAATAGCACTTTTATATAGGGTGACGCCTAGAAAACGTTTGAATCAACATTTGTAGAACCTGATTCTATCAAATGAAAGATGAGGTCAACTTAAGAATAGCCTGCATAACAGCTGCTTTATGAGCCAAGCGAGGCGAACGCGGCATGTTGCGCGAAACGAGGGGAGGAGGAAAATAAAGCGCCTGTTACTAGTCAATTGTTTTGGCTTTTCAGCCCACCTACACCCACAGGTATTGACTGACGCCGGTGATGTCAAAAGGACCAATCAAAACACGATCCATTACTCAACAATTGTCACCTTTCTGGCTACCAGAAACGCCGATAACAGCATAAAACACAGGAAATAACAGCGAAGGCAAAATCACCTTCAATAATATATGACTCAGTGCGGCAGAAGATTTGCTCGGTCAAAGTTTAGTTACGTCCAAACACAGCGGCTAGAAAGGAAAGAGGGAAAACGTGTTGTTCAAAAAAATTCCAAGGTCACGAGCTTATGAGTCGTGTTTGGCCTGTCAACACTTAATTTCAAAAAGTTAGTAAATCAGGCTTTTGCCCTACCTAGTCGGAAGGAATCCATGAACATTTTTCCTCTTAAGCAATAAATTTAAACATTTCTTTTGTTTTTCTATTAGTTCTGGAACACTTGGAAATAAGGGCTTCTCAAAAAGCATCGTCAAAAGAACACAATTGCGTGACGGTTATTTTGTTCCAAACAAACATGCCAGAACAACGCGTCATCAATTAACCAATTGGAACGCAACGTTCATGTAGTGAACGTGGGAGGAGCCAGAACAATGGACTGGTAAACAGGCGCTTTATTTTTTCCTCCCCTCGTCCCGTGCTTCGCACTCGTTTGGCGCTTCGTGCAAAATGCCGCGTTCGCCTCGCTTAGCTCATAAAGCGCCTGTTATGCAAGCTAACTTAAGTAGCAAAACAAAACCATGTTGAGTGAAAAAAAAGGGCGCACACCGCAATAAGACCTTCAGGCCAATAGATACAATCATGATACGCGAACCTCCTTATTTTCCATTTCTCTTCCACCGGGGAGAGCCTTGTCGTAGAACAAATGAAGTCAGACTACATCGGACATCATCCTATAAAAGATTATCTTCAATCTTTTCAGATAGAGATTAACGCCTCATCATATGGTGTCATATAATTTTAACATAATTACCCTTCGATGTTATACACTAGTCTTCAGTTAATTTTATGCCACCAGTGTTGCTTGAGATTGTATTTCATTAGTACCTGACTTGTTGACTGTGAGAACCATTTTTCCAGTCCCTCAACTGTTAGTACTTTGTTGGAAGGCTTCTTCTTGCAAATCAATGGGTCACCTTGTCTTATCTCAAGGAGATGACGACAGTCAACATGTGAACATGCCAGCTGATTATGACCTGTACACTTTTCCAGCGGACAATATGGGCAGGCGACGCAAATCTGGTACTGCAGTCCACGTAGATAGAGCAGGTCCTGTGACAAAGATTGTAGTGCTGCTCCCACAAACTCACGCA